AACACACCACTCCAGGGGCGGGGAGCCGTAGTGCCGCAACCAGTACCTCACGGACATGAGGAAACCTGGAAAAACACCAAAAGGAAGCCATCACATACCTGGAAAGATCCTAACGCAACAAAGCATTACAAAGGTGCATTCAGTATATTAGTAACAGAGGTGCAATGCCGGGACTGAAGGGTATATAGTGACTGGCTGCAGGGGAAAGGTATACCACTAGCAGACAAGAAATCAAAACACATTCAGGCCTGGAATTAGGAAGAACATCTCACAAGGATTAGCATGTGGAACAAAACTTCTGTTAGGTGGTTCTGAACGCTTTTTCCAATAGGTATTTAAAAAAAAAAACCTGATGAAGCTCTTGAATGAATTGCAGGTTGCAAGGTCGAAAATTCATTTACACATGTAGCTGACAGAAATACTATTAGTAACCACATTCAAAACCACCAGCATGCAGTTTAACAGCTTTAGACAACATGGCCCATACGGTCAGGACACTGCAATACTGTTTTACACTCAATTGGACTTTTGTAGAGGACAATGGTACTTTAGATCTTATAAGCACATACTTCTCTATCACAGCAGTGTGTAATTTTGTTATGATCATGAAAGTGAATCCTCAGATAAAAGGGGTCATGCATATATTTTATTATACATTTTCTTAGTTACCACACAAGTCTCCAATACATGTATACTGCAGATGAACAGGTGTAACACCAATGAGGACCAATGCTAAGAATATCTTTGTGACAATCATAAATCTATACAAACAATCAAAATTGATTACTGTTTGAAGTGACATGCCAACTGGCTACAGTTGCCCACTACAGACACACAACTTAACCCATATATAAATCTGTAAATATAAACAGTAATTGATTGAACACATATTAAAAGAAAATAATAAATAAGAGTTTGCCCGGAGTATGCTGATTTAGTTTTATTTATTAAGAAAAAAATCAAACGCTCACCATTTAATAATGGTGTCTCTTTTTTGCAGTGCTGTCTATGATCAAACTTGCAGAATGATTTACAAGACTCAGGAGTGAGCATTATTAATGCACTGCACAGCTCTGTGCTACAGCCATGACTGTGCCTGGAGCTCCATGCCGAAATGTCAGTTAGGACGCTCTGCGGTTGTTCCCAAATCAATACACAACTAGATTAGCAGCGCTGCTCTCAGTCAGCGCTGATGATATCCAACCTGCCCCCTTGCCTCGTTTGTTCCAGTGGACGGTACGATTTATCACAGTGCGCAGACATCACTCACAGGAAAAATCCTCTTGGTAACACATTGATCAAACCCCTTTGCCCACGAGCAGAAAAAAAAATGCATCCAAGCTTTTATTACCACAGCTCTGCTCAATTAGCTGGAAAATTTAATTATAATAGCCCCTGGTTTCAGTAAACATCAGAAATACATAAAAATAGAAATCGCATCAGCAGGTGCTGAGCTTCCAACCTGCAGCTTTGTAATTGGCTGAGCTGTGAGCTTCAGAAGCAAAAACTGTCTTAGCGTGTTTGTCATAAACATGGCGGGGGCAGACTGTGAGCAAACGCTCTGCTCACGGCTTGTTTCACAGTGGTGTCCTTTTAAGCAGTGCAGTCTTTAAGCAAATTTCCAAAATGATTTACAAGAACTCAACTTCAAATCCTGCACATTTTTTTCCATGATATTTTATCGAATGCAGCTCTGCCAAAGAAGCAGCACTTAATACAGGGCTGCCTTATCCATTTACAGAAGAGGTTTAGAAATACCAGTTGGCATGAAAGCAAAAATGTCCAAATAAACTTAAACCCAGTATCAGTGCATAAGGCTATTGGGTGTTTCTGTGGGTGCATTAACTTGCTAAATGTACACAGCTCCTCACTCATGAAAACGTATTTTTAAGTATTTTACAAAAACCCCACTTTGCGTATGCTCCCTGATGCAGCATTTTGGCCACCAAATTCTGAACAGAGGAGTTTCCAAAGAAGGCCCCTCACCCCACAGCCTGAATAACAGGTTCAAATTACCAGCAGACATAGCCTGCCTTTTCAATTCAGGAGTAAGAGGCCATTTTAAGGAGGGCTAAGAAAAAATGTGTGCCAAGCTATATGTAGTCCTAGTACTGTAGTGCTGGCATGTAATAAATAATTTGATTCCTTTTAATCTTTAAATTATTAATATCCTCAATGCTCTCAGGAGACAATGTACCCTGCACAAAGACCTCTGAAAGAGGACAAGACATCAGGCTGCATGAAAGACTGTATAACTCGGTAGTAACAGGCAGGCCAGACACACTAGAAATTCCATATTCTTCACATTTAAAGAAATTCACACCAATAGCTTAAAACCAAGGACAATAAACTGGTACCCAACATGGGGAGAAAAAAGACACTGCTTGGCTTTGTCACTGATGCAGATAAAGCATGTCATATGGGTATTGACTGATGAGCACTTTGGAAAACAGGGGGAAAGATGCGTGATATAAGAGGGTCAAATTACCAAGGAGCAGCTGGGTTTCAGCCGAGCATAATTTTAAATATACAGCTCTTAATTTTCTGGACAATAGAAAAGATTCAACCTGTGACAAGTCCACACATCAAATTGCTTGAGGAAACAAAAAATAAGATCAGAATACTTGAACTGCAAAGTAAATATAAAAGTACAGATAACTGCGGATCTGAAATTGCATCAATAACGTTCTGACTGAATCAAACTACATACAAATATTAAATAATCACTATTTACTAATTACAAACTACACAGGTCAAAATTAACTGATTCGTTTTCAATCCAAAGTATCTAAACATTTTAGGTACATGATCAAAGTTAAAAAGAGAAGGGAGGTGCATTTACCAAACAAATTAGTACTGCACTCATCAAAAAGAGGCAATTCAGCTGAATGACCTCACAACCTCAACCCTAATCACACACGCAGTGAACACCTTGAAGCAGTTGCACGTGTAAATGACATTTGACAATAACCTCGTCCTTGCATTGTGTTATGTGTTGTCAAGGGAAACGCAAACCTCCGTGGCGTTTCTGTTCTACAGCATTTCAACGGAAGGATGCTGAAAACAATCGTTACATATTCATCAAAAATCCTAAGCAAAGGAGATAAATCCAAGTACCGGATAGTGGAGAATACGTGGCATAACTCGGCATGCAGAGGAAAACAAACGAAGGTATTCTCATTAAACTGAAAAGTGATGGATGTTAAGCTGATACTGCAGAAACGCTTCGGGTCTGCCTCAGAAATAATTCCCAGTGCATTACAGATAAAAGCACATGATAGAAATAGTGGATCTCCATCTGCTGCCTTGGAAGTGTGGGGGTCAGCAGGTCAAAGATGTAATGGAGGTCCTAAGCAAGAAAGTAGGCATGCAGTACCACTCCCAACCACAAATGGAATCTAAGCATCACCGAGAACTATTGAATGCGGAGGTAAATAAGAGCACGATTCAACTAAGTTTGCAAATGCATTAACAACACATTGATTAAATAAAACAATGTATGCAGAGAGAACACCAATTTACTGAAACAACGTGAAAAAAAAGGTTTGCTTGCCAATTATTCTGGTTTACTGATACATGCATACATGTTTCTAGCATTAAAAAACTATTAAAAAAAAAACACAGATTTATTGATCTACGAAGGCACCAATGTCAATGTCTCCCCAAGCAACATCTATGCCTCTTACCAGGTAAAAAATTACCTCAAACTTATAAAAGAATAGAGCTTTACTTAGGGATCCAGGTTCTTTCTCCTCGTGAATGGCAGCGCTCATCACCTTTTCCCAAAAGAGGGACCATGTCAATTTGGACTTTATGTGACTAGTCTTGCATGACAATGCAAGTCCCTATGAATCAACCAACAGCCTCTTTCAGAACAAAAAGGCTGACAGTAATGGTCACTTATTCACCCTGTTCTTTTTATTGCAATATGTACTGCATTTGTTTTGATACATCACCTGCTGATATATGCTGTTAAAAGCTTTACAGAAATATTATTAAAGGACATTTCCTCTTCTGCGATGGACACCATTTACAGGGTGTACCCCACATTGTACTCATTGCTTGCCCAGAATAGGCACTGGCTCCCTCATAACCAGAAAGGCAGAATCTCTAGGCAGAGAAAGATTACTAACAGCAGATGGGATTTCAGTCCATCTTACTCATTTAACTGCAGCAAACTGCTAGAGCTCATCCTGCTGTTTTCCGAAGGACCCAGAACAGCCTTCACATCATCTTGGTAGGCTGCTCAATAACCATTTCTCTATTTAAATGCTGAACTTCGCTGTACTTTTCACTGAACTAGATTCTGTATTACCTATGAAGTTGTGGTGTAGGCTAACAATCAATCTTGCTTATTTATGACATATAAGTCTATCACTCAGATTAAGTTTTCCATGCCTGATGATTTTGCTAACTGAAACAAACTAATAAATGTCACTGTTTTCCTGTAGTGTCATATCTGCTAATATAATTACTATTAATCTTTTGGGTGAAATCAGTGGTGCGAAGCAGAGTTGAAAACAGTATGTACCTCTGTGTACTCCCTTTGTCTGTGCTCATCACCACTGGAACAATGATCAAATAAACGGAAGCATTTCTCTGTCCTTTGTCACACATTTGCTATTAAAGATGTTTGCATGTAACCTGTAATTAATGACAATGCCAATTCACCGTGTACCAACATTTCTATAGTTCTGAACACCTTAAGCCTTTTGCAACCAACATACCACTAAAATGTTCCAATTTCCTTGTCTTCTGCAAATTTGGACTAGTCTGATTAACACTAAAACAACAATACGAACCCTCTATGTACAAGTCTGATAGCCTTCCCTCAAGATGAGGTTTCTGTTTTACATGAACTATGTATCAGATACTTCATCAAAAGAATTGAAAG